GGCCTCCAGACCACCGCCTCCAGCCCAGCCCCCCCCAATTAAATTTTATAAAATCCTTAAATTCTTTAAAATTTAATTGGCCGCCCAATTAAAATTTAAAATTCTACAAAATTTAAATGCCCTTAAATTTTTTAAAATCCTTAAAATTTAATTGGCCGCCCAATTAAATTTTAAAGATTTTAAGTAAGGCAGCAATTGTGGTTACCCCTGCGTTTGGTTACCTCTATTTTGGCTGCTCCGTGATAATTTAGCCTCTGTTCATGTTCAGAGGCTGTGATCGATTTTGGCTTCTTGATTAATTGTCTGTGATCACAATTATCCTGCAGCGGTTCCTTCTGAGATCATGGAGCGGTTCTGTTGCAGTGCGGGCTCTGGGGTTGCCCGTGATGAGATTTTGGGTGTATCATTTATAATTGTTCAGTTGCCGAATACGTCAAGTGGATACCCAGAAGATTTTTTTCACCTGAGCTCCTGAACCTTGGGCCTTACACTGTACTGACACCCCGAAACCTGGATGAGAACGGCTCGAAATGTAATCCCCGAAACTTTGAAACCCTGAACCCTAAACCCTACATGCAGTAGATTATCAGTGGCGATGGCCGAACAGCCATGCTTCAGTGTGCTTTCCGAGAGTGGCACGTGGCCACGAACAGAGATCGTCGCGCTGCCCCATGTGTCACGCCATTCTGTTTTCTGGGATGTGCGAAACCTCCTGGATCTTGTGTACGCCGAGAGCTCACAGCCTCTCTTCTGTACATTATATGTATTTGTTCCATAGCTGCCAGCAAAATCATGACAGTCACCCGTTGAGTTGGATATCTGATTCTTGGTTCTCTCGGAATAAGGAAGGTGACAGTTGCCCTTTCAAAAACGAAGAAAGCTGTTCGGAGATATTTGAGCCTCCTCACTATGTTCCTGGGCTGAAAGTTGGCTGCAAACACTGTAAACGGGAACTGTCATGGCTGTTCAAACAGTGTAGCCGGCTGCCAGCATCTTTCTGCTTGGCTCAGGTGAAGGCCTCTCTTGGGCCTCGAGATGGCCCTCAATTTCATGAGCGCTATTGCCCAGAGGAATACATCAAGTACTTCAGGAGTTACTACATGATGACAGGAGTGTTTATTGCCCAACTCGTGCAGTGGATCACTTCCCATCAGCGCTATCTGGAGGATACAATCCGCACAGCAACTGTGTTGCGTGACTTGTTAGATCACTCTCACTTCAGACAGCATCGCTTGGTACTGCCTCTGCTGCCAGATGTGCCTGGGCCAGTCTCTGTGTGTGTGTGTGTTGGTGTGTGTTTGTGTGTTTGCGTGTGCCCGTGTCTGCGCCCTTACCCTAAACGCAAAGCTCGCAGCTCCAAGCCCCGGACCAACCCTAAACCCAAAACCTCAAAGGACAATGGCCGTTAATGCCTTACGAGGTGCAGATCGTGTTCGAGGATGGCAGGCTCACAGGCTTGCCTGCGATCGGAATTGAATGGTGGCAATCCTTCTGCCTGTGGTGGGGTGAACGTCGGAATGACTCAGAATTCCCATGTATTTCTAGCTCAGCACCTGACCATAACTTAATGCATGTTTCGGTTCATTTCTCGATGCCTAGGGCCTAGGCCTTACATGAAGGTAAGTTTCTCGGGAATCAGGTTGGGGATGCCACTGTTGGGGAGCTGATCGCTGGGCTCCTGTTGTGCAGACAGCAACAAGAAGCTGTTGACTGTGGTTGCCGACTGCTAGTGAGGATCACGATGGATTTGATCTCCCCCCCTTTGCTGGCAGCCGAAGATTTTGCTGAGACAAGAGTAGATGAGCGCAACACCCGTCATATTGTGGAGCTGGCGGCTGCCGAATGGGGCAAGGTCGCAGAAACCTGTTTGATAGATCTCTTCCATATATGAGGGAACCTCCCGCACCCGAGCAACGCACATTGAAATGTACTCCTACACACTCACAGGCTACTGTCCGGTCGCTGCGGGCAGCATGGAAGAAGATCACGAATCAGGACTTTCACACCAACGCCCACCAGGCACGTGACGACGTGGTTGCTCGAATGAAGGTGAAGGTGCAGGATTTCGATGTCGCTTTATGTGGGTTTCCCAAAGGTCTTTTCCGACGCGTATGTGTTCCGACTCCAGCTGGAATTCAACGATCTGAATTACATCCAAGCAGCTTGTTCGTTGTGAAATCACTGTCAGCATGCATCTCACTGTTGCTACGCATGCACGATCTTAACGCAGCCCAGGTACTTACAGACGGTGGCAAGGTCGGAAACGACAAAATGATCTTGTTCACGCTGTGGGCACCAGAGCTCTCTTTGGGAGCTGCGCTGCCACCCGAGGCCTGAACGCTTCTAATCTAAGCCGACTAGTAGCAGCAAGCACTTGATGAAAGTCAACGGTTGATTCCAACATGCTTCGCCGCTCTCTCGCTTTATGCTGCATGCAGTACAGCTTCAGATCTGTCGGTTCAGCGCATGAATGTCCGGCCCGCCTTAGTCTCCTTCCTTTTAAGCGAAGTTGTAATATGGGAGCAATGCCTACTACTATACATTGTCAAATTCACTGTCTGTCAGACAGTGACAATGCCTAATACCATGTGAAGTCGTCCACTGTCGATGATCTAGTAGACTCTGACCGATAGAATTTGGTCAATGCACTGGTGACTAATCATAGTAATAGTTTCAATGGCTGCTGACGACGAGTTTGCATGTCGCTTTGCCTGGAGCGATATAGTCTGGAACGTGCTTTCTGAAAGACTGACAGATAGCCAGATCCGGTCCAGCATGCTGCTGAACTGTAACGGGTCAGATACAGACTTCAGTGGACATGGATGCTGGGAGCTAGCAGCTTCGATGATCCAGAGCGGCTTAAGCAAACACGGGGTTTGCCCAGACTTGCGTCCCAGATCTGCTTGCGTTCCTGGGCTGGATGGCTGAGGGTTCGTGGTTACATAGCCGAGGGTACGTGTGAATTGGTGTGAATCTATTACAATAATATCCTGTCAGCCACAGTCCCTCATGCCATGCTCTCAGGAATACGATGCTCACTGCCAATCATTTCTCCTGAACTCTTTGCCCTGCGACACGTGTGTCTTTGGAGACATCATGGATATTCTGGGGGACGGCAAAGCATGGACGCGGTTGCTGCAATCGGCACCAACCTACTGGGAGAAGAAGCGTGCCATCTATGATCTTGGAAATGTGTATGACACAGGATTTTGCGCCCGGCACCACAAGCATTGCCCTTTTGATACAGGCTCCAAACTCAGGGTTGGTGGCCCGCCTTGTGTGGACTACAGCTCTGCAGGCTTGCGTTGCGCAGAGAACGGACCTACGGTGGGCACTCAGATAGCCTACGGTCTTAAAGCCCAGAGCACGTCCACAGAATTGTTGTGTTTCGAGAATGTCAAGAATTGCCCTGAATGGCTTCGGCGTGACAATCTTCCTAGCTTCACTTTGGAGCATTTCGACGTGGCTACTTCCGATTACGGGTTCAATGCGATGCGCAGGGACAGGCCTTACACGCGGGGTTTGCCTACCGTTTGAGGCTAAGGTTAGTTTAAAGCTTCAGTCATGTGTAGCGTTTATTATTTACCATCTTGCTCGGCAGGTTCTACAGTCTTGGACACCGTGAAGACGGTGGGACAGCGACGAGGCGTTCGCTGCCTTGGAAACAGCCCGACTTGCTGCTGCGGTTGTCCGGCAGGCTAGGGCGGTCGCACAGGATCAGGCTCACCCGGAGCGCGAGGCCTTTCGCAGCGACTATGAGATTAACTCTGCAGGGGTTAGATAAATTTGGCTGTCTGCGTACTTGAGACTTACTAAACTAGCTGGTTGAGGGATAAATTGAGACCATTGAAGGATGGTGAGAGATTGATTGTACTCTGTATGGCGAGCTCCCCGGTCCGGGGTTCAGCCACGAACCTTGCTTGATGAGCCTTATTATCGAGGCTTCTGCTGTGCACATAAGCATATGTAATATGTACATGTGTGTCTGTGTGTGCGAGGCTGTGGATAAAGGGGGCTGGGTGGGTCGGGATCAGTTTGTTCGTGGACAAAGGGGGGTTTATTGGTGGGGTCGGGAGCAGGTTTACGTTTACGTGGGATCTTGGAAGCATGCTTCGGCCGGGCGAGGATCGGGGCTACTGTCTTGGAAGCCTGTTTGGGCCGGGTGCGGACGTGGCGGCTAGTGGGGGGTCGGGCTGGGTCTGAGGGCCTTCACGTCTAACGCAGCGGCGGCTCGTTGGCCCGCGCCTCAGTGTTCGTGTTTGTTTTTCGTCTTTGTCTCGTCCTGGCTTCGCCGGATAGCGCCTTGCCTCGTCCTGGCTCCGCCAGATAACGCCTTGCCTCGTTAGGAGGGCTGGCTCATTTTTTCCAAGAAACGTCGCAGCATTGGTGCTGCCCGAGCTACACAATCGTTTCTCATATGCGAGATATCAGCCGCGAATGAGCATTGGACCCTAAACCCTCAAACCCTGAAGCCCTAAACCCTGAACCCTAAACCCTTAAACCCTAAAACCCTAAACCTGACCATGCCTGCCCTGTCCCTCGCGAGGCTGTCGAGCGTTTGTTGTCCGACTTGTGGTACGACCGACTCACGCTTGTGGGGGATCTATGGGATCATGCCCAACATTTTGGCTGGGCGATGGAGTCTGTCCACAGCCACGTGTACTTCCTCTCCTGTGGGGTGAGCACGACAAAGTTCACGCTGGAGGAAGTGCTGGCTTCCTTGAAAGATCGAGGCCGAGAGTCCAATCACGGCATTTGGTCCATCTATCGAGTCTACAACCAACAAGCTTATTGTTCCAGATTTCTCAACTCGCGCTTTGGACAAGGATTCTTGCGTCTCCAACCAGGGGATGTGCGGGTTTGCGACAGACACACGTGCAAGACCGGCTACTTTGGTTCGGAAATCCGGGAAGCCAAAGGTACTGTGCTCAAGGCAGCGCAGCAGAAGCTTCGTGAGTACGACGACAACCAAGGACACGCCATCCTTGAACGTTGTTGTGCTCTCTTACGGCTCGAGGGTACAAGGATGTTTTTTCAAGACTTTTGTGACTTTTGTTCACCGTATTGGAAGGCATTGGCCGTTGCAGGGTTTCAGGGTTGAGGGCTGAGGGTTTTAAAGGTTCAGCGATCGGGGTTTAGGGTCATAGGGGCTACCCGTAAACTAAAGTTGTCACATGGGCCCCTCCTTCCACCCCGAGCGCTGCAACTGTTCTGGCTCCAACCGGATGCCAGTATTATAAAGAAAGAACATGTGTATATCTAGTTCGGGTAAGCTTAATTTCAGGCTTAATGCTGCTCGAAGGGTGGTTTGATTTTTTGTGATTCGTGTCTAAAACTATTCTTTCCATGTCAGGAGCCGGTGCACTGTGGAAGCCTTCCGGCATCGATGCGGACTACCGCGCATGTGCCGCTCACGCATTGCTGCAGCGGCTCGCAGATGTTGACTTTGCAGAGATTTCCGGCGCGTGGGCGTCGTGTCTCTTGCAAGCTGGGCAGGTGTATCTGCGCAGATCAAATCAACAGTCCTTTTTGTCGCTTGGATTCCGCGGACACGCTGCCTTCGGGTGGCGGATTGAGCGGCAGACTGGTGATTGGCTGAATGTTGTGGATGAAACAACACCGACAACGCTCAAGTGTCGCTCCAGCCTGGAGCTCCTGCTCCAGACCAAGCTTGGGGAGCCTGGGACAGAGCAGGCGGCTCAAGAAGAATTCTTGTTTGTGCCCACTTCGGCGCGATTCCCGCTTGCAATGGGGGTATGGCAGCTAAGGTTTGCCGGGTTAGGGTGTATATTTGTTGTGAATGATATCGCAGCTTGGAGATATAATGGTATTAATACCCTGAGACCCCATACATCAAGGAATATGATGGATGAAAGCTTCCACCAACTTCAAGCCCCGAAGACTTGAAATCTAAATCTTTGACTGACCCCTGGGCCATAAGTTCTACCCAACAGAATGTCGAAGCCCCAGACCCATAATCATAAATACAAGCTACTGAGCGCCCCCCCCACAAGCTCTCCGAAAACCTCAAAATCGAAAGACTTAGCAATGATCAACCATAACGACAAAGTCACCTGGCCGAGTCCCGGCTGCTGACGCCGGCGGGGGCGTCACTGGCATTGCTCTCAGGCAGGACGGGGAACCGTTGTCCTTGGTGCAGGGTTTCTTGGCGGTTGGCTCTGCAGATGCAGAAATCAAATCACGACTACGGATGATCTGCTACTTGCCTGGTCGATGGGGCTGCCGATGTCATCTTATGTCATGTAGAGAGAGGGGTTATGAATCGAATCGATGCACATGCCCGGCAGTTTCAGTGACTCAGAATTACTTATTCCAAGAAGAAATAGGCTAGAGAATCGAGAAACTTACTACTTATGCCAAGGTTTCGCCACTAACACGACCGTGGTCAAGTTTGGCGAGAAACAAGTGGGCCACAAGTCCCGTATCATGTCGCTCATTCAGAAATTCCACCCGGATTGGACAGAGAAGCAGATGAGAGATCGGCTCTCGGCTATTCTTAACAAAGATGTCGAAGACGACATTCCCTGTGAGGACGTTGTCCGAGAAGCGCTAGGCAAGATGGATGCTTCCGACAAAGCCCCCTTCATGGACATGGCTGAGAAGCTACAGAATCGGCATCGTTCGGAGCTGATTCAGAAGCGGCTGGCCCCTGAGGACAGGAAGGAAATGGAAGAAGCAACACCGGATGTGGTCAAAAACTTGCGACCGATCGACATACCTTCCTATGCCTACCTGGTCTTCCAACCACTGACCAGCTCGTTTGCGGCATATTGGCCCAACTCGGATCCTAAGAAGAAACCGCTGAGTACTTCCAAAACGTTCGGTGCGAGAACGACAGCGACTGCTGCTTTGAACCACTGTGTGAACTGGTTTTACGGCCAATACCACAAGAATGGCGGTGCCGCTTGGCTTGGGTCCAGGACGTGTGAAAGTTTAGGGTTGAGAGTTTAGGAGCTTAAGTAGGTTAGGTTTTATTTCGTAGATAAACCTTATTGATGGCTGTAGTATCCGAACCATTAAATAGTTCGGATACTACAGCTATGAATAAGGTTTACAAGATCATATCCGTGAACGAGCATCCGCTTCTGGTATCCAGAGAGATCATGCTGCGCCTGCCGCCAGTGCACGGGGTCGAGGTGATCCAGGCAGAGGCCGTGCTGGCCGAGGAAAACGAAAGCGAGATGCAGGGACATGAATGAAGCGGCTCGTCATCTGTTCATGTTAGACTTAGAATCTTCTTGTGTATGTTTCCTGTGCGGGTTGCTGTCAGAAATCGAAGATTAACCCCTGAGAACGTTGCTGGCCTACTTTAGGTTGGGGCCTTCGCAACCCAGGCTGAATAGGATCCTGCTAAGCCCAATTAACCGAAAATAAAGACTAATGAATGTAAACAAATCCTCACAGGCCAAAACAAAAGTTAAAAGATACCTCCGAAGATTTGAACCCAAAACATCAAGCCCTAAGCCTACCATTCCCGTCGAAGCATCAAACTGAGAACAACGAGGCCAGCGGCATCCAATGCAACGAGTCGAAGTTGCCTGCAGTTATGAGTGGATCCAGGCAGCCGTGTCTGGTTCGTTTTGGAGCTGGGTTGTATGTAGGATTGGAGTATTTCCGGGATTGTATGTTCGGGAATGCCTCTGTCACACTGTGTGTCTGCGCATAAGTCAAGTCTGGCTCGTACAAGTAGGATTTGAGGTTCTGTTACGGCGGCCAGGGGGGGCATGTAATGTAATGTAGGGACGAACGAGGCAGAGGGTTTACATCTAAGTTGCATACTGTTGTTTGTCGAAAATCCGAACGCCGAAACCCGGATCCCCATACTTCAGAATCGTCAACCCTGGACATTTCGTGAACCCTACACTAAGTATACCCGCCATAGTAGAGAATACACTCACCCTAAATCCAAGCCTCAAGTCGCAAAGCTTCAAAATCACAAAGAGTCCTTTAAAACCGAAAGCAAACACGCACACTAGGCCCTAAAATCTAAACCCTGAACGCTACCGGAGTCACTCGTTCGGTGTCATCGGACAGGCAGCATTCCGCCGCTGCGGCCGCCGCAACGAGTCGAGAGCAGGGCATGGGAGTCGAAAAAATATGAGCAACCGCAAATCCTAAACCCTAAACACTTAGTCTTAATGTCTTAAAACCCTAATCTAAACCGTGGCCTTAAATCCTGAACTCTGACCTGACCCCCTTTCGCAATGGGCTCGCAACGGCCTTTGACCCCTGAACCAACAAATCCTGCCAGGTTGTAAGGGCTGCTGAAATTCGGCTGAACTGTTCGGGGCTGTGGTTGGGGTTCGGGGTTTAGTAGTACGGCACATTATTGAGAGATGCCAATCTGTCGAAAGTCAATATGCAAATGCACAACCCAAATAAAGGTTAGGTATCTGGCTCTGGCATGACATTGGCAGGACATGTTGCACGGCAAACCGCTTTAGTCTCCATTGTTACGTACTTGTGTCGAACGTTCGAGGCATGACATCGCGATGTGTTCAGGTTTGTGGCCTGTGCTTCTGATTTTGCGGAGGGGTGTAGAATTTATGGGGTTTAGGATGTTATAGTCAAGAGTGTTTAGCCTTTCAAGCCTTCAGATGTTTTGGGCTTGTGACTGTTACACTGTTAGTGTTTCAGGATTAGAATTATAGGTCAGGTCCCGTTTAGGCATGGGAAGAGATACCAGACCCAAACCAAGTCCTGTTTCAAGCGGGTCATCGACGACGAAGGAGTGAACCCAAAAAAACCCAAATAGCTTTTTTTTTATGTCGCTGCTATAACTCTCCGTGATCACATTTATCCCGCAGTGGTTCTGTAAAGGGGTATCGCTCATAGGTGCCCGTGATAAATTGCACCCTTGTGATCATAAATCCCCGTGATTAAAGACCCCGTGACCACGCCGCGCTCTGAGATCACGGAATGATCACGGCCTTACTAATCCTTGACCAACGTTAGAGGTAACCAAATCTTGGGGTAACCCGGATTTGTGCTTTATTAAGGATTTTAAAGATTTTACAAAATTTAATTGGGGGCTGGAGGCCTCCAGCCCAGCCCCCCCCTCCCCCCACTCCAGCCTCCGCCCTGGCCGTGGCCTGGCCCTGCCCTGACCCTGCCCTGGCGCTGCCCTCTAGCCCTGTGGGGCCCTGGCCCTGCCCTGGCCCTGGGCCTAGCGCTGCCCTCTGGCCCTGCCCGGACCCCTTGCCCCTGCCCTGGCCCTGGCCCCTCCTGCCCGCCCCTAACCACCGCCCCCACAACCCAGCTCTGTCCCCCCTCACCGCCCCAGCCCAGCCCTCCAGGCCCAGCCCAGCCCCAACCCCCAACCCCCCCTCCCAGGACAGTCTCTCAGCCACGCCCCAGCCCAGCCCCAGCACCCAAACTGACCCAGCCCCAAGCCCTCCCTCCAGTCCCAGGCCCAGCCCAGCCCCCAGTCCAAAAAAAACAGAGGGCCACGGTGCTTGCGATTTGGGAAAAGATTTTGCTCCAAA